TAAATGTTGTTAAAAAAAAAAAAAAAAAAAAAAAGAACTTTAAGCATCCATTTCTCCTTTTCATGCTCATAAGTGTTACAGTTCATCAGTACGTTTTCTACATTTTCCTTTTCTCCACATTCTTCACATTTACCATTATCACCCCCCCCCCCTATTAAATATAAATTGTCATTTCAATAGGTATGACCCACTCTTAATCTGATCATTATTACTTCTTCCCCTCTGTTTCTCTCATTAATAAAGTCTATTTAATATTGACTTTTGTACTTTCATGTAATCCTCTTACTTTATTATCTTTATTCCATCTTTTTTGTAATTTTTCCATTTCTTTACTCTTAATTAGTGATTCACCTTTCCCAAAATGAATTGTCATCGTTATTGCCCCCTATAAACCTTTTTGCTTATATATCTGCCTTTTCATTGCCTTTTACACCTTAATGTGTTGGAACCCAAAATAAACAAATATCAATGCCACTGCTTCTTCTTCTTCTTTCTGATTTTTACTGATGGGTGACATCTACATCTTAAGATACATTATCTCCATCTACTATGCTGTAGTGTGGACCAGTGTATCTCCCTTTAATCTAAATTCTTGTATATAATCATCTATTGTTCAGAAATGTAATAACTGACTTATGTATTCTATGTTTAATTAATATATTATATTAAGTTTTAATCTTCTAGAATTTTAATGGTTGTTGGCAAATAACTGTAGAAGTGAATCACTACCAGCATCTGCTATGGAGTGGAGACTGGAAATTACACACAGACAAAAAACAAACAAAAAAAACTTATAAAAATCCATCCATCCATTTTCTGTCACGCTTATCGCAAGTGGTGCTGGTGCCTATCTCCAGCTGTCTACGGGCGAGATATTTAATTTTTATGTAATAATTCAAAGGGATTGGACGCAGACATCGAATTTCCGTGTTTTCTTCCATCTCCTTCTTATGTTGTTTATTGAAGGTTGGCCAAAAAGTTTAAGGTGTGCATTACCGCCACTTCTTGGTATAGAGTGTTGCTCTTCATAAATTAACTTCCAAAGCATGTGCTATATAATCAAATTACAATAATTAATTATTTTCTAAAAAAAAATAAATAAATAAATGAAATTTCTTAATTTGCTCTGTAAACATATTTGTTAATGTCTCTATTATACTTGATTTTTATTTAATTCTTTCAAAATCAATCCCCATTATTTTTTTTTTCTTGCTCTTAATTCTGGATGTCTTATGGATGTATCCTCTGAACAATATTCACATGTTCCTGTAGCATGCTTTTGTATTTTAAGCAGTTTAGAATTAAGTCCTAAATATGTCCTAATAATAATCTTGTTATTATACTGCCTGCTTTTCAGCTCCCTCTCCTGGTTATAAATTCTCCTACCTTTTTTTGTATCTACAAAATCATATTTTATTCCCACCTTTTAAGCAATCGAAATTCTCAGGGGTTGAAAAATCTGAACCTTTGCTTACATTTATGTTGCTAAATCCAAGGACTAAATGTGGCTGTGACCTACAGTGAAGAAGGCAGCAAGATAAGATTTTTTTAAATCAAAATAGAACAAAGAGAAAATAATATTGACAAAGGATGAAGCAGGAATGCTCTTAAGAGGTTTGTGGGTGGTTTCTAAAAAAAAGCCCTTTTATTTGGCCCTAAGGACAGTTTCTATGTCCTACCTCCAGCACAGACAATGGCCAGCTTTCGCTTCTCCGATCTACTGCTGTCCTCCCCTGCCCTGATGCACTCCTTTCTTCCTCAAAATCTCCCACTTTGATTCCTTAGTTTCACGGTGGACACGGCTGGCAGCCTCTTCCTGGTTCTAGTTCTCTCTCAACCGGTTTTCTGGCACTCATTACACTCGTGTCTGAGCTTCCCTTCCATCTGTTGTCCGGGTGATTTGTCGCCCAACTAGTGACAGCAGGGTACCAAACTGGGGTCAAAGGTAGGCGGAAGTACAGTTAAAAGTGAAAAACAGCATTGCCAGTCACTTCATGAACCAATATCCGCCATATTGAGGTGAAACTAACAACTAGCAGACTTGATAACGTAGGAGTTTGGAGTAAATACACTTTCAGAATTATTTTTGGTTCAGTTTTCTGTAGACCAGCTTCTGTGCGAGTGCCACCTGGTGGTTAAATAAAATATTGCAGTAACAACTTGGATATAATTACATGGTAGTTTGACCTGTGCCGTGTCAGACAGTTATTCTCTCTGGTTTTGACTAAGCAGAAATTACTCTTGATGATAACAGAAGCGAACACTGACAGTCGGGCTGCAATTCATGTAAACTCCACCAGTAAAACAAACAAATTTCTTTCTAGCACTTTGATCTGTTACGAGAAGAGCCAGCTCCATTGCAGCCATGCAAAATTCAGCAGGCAACTGTTAGGACAGCTCAGTGACACATTAGGGGGATATTTCATAATTCAGATATTCAAAAAAAATTTAGTTTTGACTACTCCAAATTAAGTGAAATATTTTGATTATAATTCCGGATGTGTGACACTTCAGATGACGTCATTTGAAATATCTCAAAAGGCATTTTGACTCTCCTAAAGATATTTTGAATTGTTATTTTTCCCTAGATATAATATAAAAATATAAAATATATAAAATATAAATCATTAAGGGCAGTCAAAATTTAGTAAATAATGTTTGTCTATTCTATTAAAAATTTTCTGTATCTCTATAATAGGTCTGTATTATGAGTCATCTTTTCAATTCTAAGGGCCCCATGCCTGTCTTTGCTTAGGGACCCAAATTTCCTAAATCCGCCTCAGCTCACTGGAAGAGCTGCGCGCACACAGGTGCGCCTGGGGGACTCGGTCACGTGCTTGCAGCCAGGTGCGCGTGGAGCTTTCTTTGCTCTTGTATCCCATCGCGTGGTCTGTCTCTTTCCACCTGTCCCTTCCAGGCATGGCGGGTTACCTGAGAGCTTGGAGCCCCGCGTGGAGGAGGCTGGCCGCTCCGCAGGCGTCCGTCCCAGCGGCGCTTTCACCAGCCGCTCTCTGCCTTCACAGAGCGCAGCAGAGAGACTGTAAGTAAGCTTTCCACTAAACCATAATGACTCCAACACGTTGCCTCTTTTTGCTGAGGCTCTTTGTGACGCAAACGAACACAGGTATGAGGTGCAGGTGCATTTATAAATAAAAGGTAACGGGAAGTTTCTGCTGTTTTGGCTTCAAGCCATTGATGAATCACACAGAGCCACTAATGCTGGGCCAAGTGATCGTTTAGATTGAAAAAAACAAGCAAAGAACAAAACTAACTTTTGAGATACCATTAACATTATGTCAAGATAAGAATTTTCCAAATATACAAGAAAAGTGTTCATATATTTACAAATATGTGTTGAACTGTGTATTTGCAGTCTGCTTTGGCTCTGCTGTCCACGTGTTGGGTGCAAAAAAAGGAGTTGTGTAATAAAAGCTGTCAAAGATCCTATATGTTCCTAAGGTCACAGTGTTATGGAAGAGGATTAGGGCAACTGAGGGGGGAAAAAAAGTTACCGATTTTTTAAATTTAATTTCAGTAAGAGAAAAAAATATCAGAACTCTGACTTTTTCTCAGAATTCTGACTTTGATAAAACAGGATTTTAATGCATTTATTTTCTCAGGAAATACATTAACCTTTAACACATTATATTTTAGTACGTTTACTATTTTGGGGGAGGGAAAAAATTAATAAAGTTCTCTTTTTACAAATTAAAATCGAGGGCGTCCCGGATGTAAAGTTGGTTCTGCAAATGAGCTGATGGTACGGGTCGTGCTTCTGGGCTGGACCGGGTGGTGACATTGTGTTCTTGTGAATTAGAACAGTACTAGGGCTGAGGCTGGTGACGGTTCACAAGTACACGAGCACATGAGAACGCACAAGTACACATATTGAAAAACGGGTCAATGACTCTATGTAATCAGCTGGTTTTCCTTAGATAGAAATCTGACTGGATGATTTGGTTGAACTGTAAAGTGCCTTGAGATGACATGTTGTGAATTGGCGCTATAGAAATAAACTTAATTGAACTGAGAAATATGATTAAAAATCAGTACCTCTGATATTTTCAATTGCGACTATATTGCAAATGCAATTAATTGCGCAGTTTTTAACAAGCTGCCTCTCCTGTAATTCAGGAGGTTTGGATGCATAAAGACAGGTTTTAGTTGCTCTAATGTGGCGATTCAATTAATTTGCATACAAAGGTCAGTTAACTAATCAAGTAAACCAAGTTAACTCAGGTCAACCTGCAGAAACCTTGTTTTCACTTAGTCTCACTTTATGTTTCAGATTCAACAAAGCGCATCAAAGTGGACAAGCCGGTTGTGGAGATGGATGGGGATGAGATGACGCGTATCATATGGGAGTTCATAAAAGAGAAGGTAGAGCAGAGAGGGTTAAAAAAAGCCTCCTTTAGTCACTTTTTGTGTCAATATGTCCAAATGCTTTGGAGTTTGCCGTTGGCCTTGATATGAGATCATCTTGTTTAGCTCATCTTACCAAACGTGGAAGTGGAGCTGAAATATTTTGACCTGGGTCTGCCCTATCGAGACCAGACAGACGACCAGGTCACGATCGATTCAGCCCTGGCTACTAAGAAATACAACGTGGCTGTAAAGTGTGCAACAATCACTCCTGATGAGGCCAGAGTTGAAGGTGAATCTGAAGGCGGTCTGATGAGTGTATGACGAGGTTATCCCCAATAAACTGATCTGCATTTAAAGATATCCAAATATTTCACTGTATTCTAATGTTTTTTTTTTTTTGTTTTTGAAGAGTTTAAGCTTAAGAAGATGTGGAAGAGCCCCAATGGAACCATCAGGAACATCTTGGGCGGCACAGTTTTCCGCGAGCCCATCCTGTGTAAAAACATTCCCCGTCTGGTTCCTGGTTGGACGCAGCCCATCACCATCGGCAGGCATGCCTTTGGAGATCAGGTATTCACAGAAAGGAGGCGGATTCGTATTTACTCATAATTCAATGATTAAACCCTTTGAAATGCTCTCAGTACAGGGCCACGGACTTTGTTGTGGACAAACCTGGGAAGTTTAAGTTGGTATTCGCTCCAACAGATGGAAGCAAGCAGAAGGTGTGGGAGGTCTACGACTTCCAGGCTGGAGGCTGTGGGATGGGAATGTACAACACTGATGAGGTGAGAGCAAGTTTCCGCATTTAGAACGCGTCCAAAAATAAGTAATCGAGCCAACCAATAGGTGCATGTTTCTTCAATGGATTTTCATTGTTGTGATCTAAGCTATTTGAATTGCAACTTCATTTTCATCACACAGTCCATCAGCGGCTTTGCTCACAGCTGCTTCCAGTATGCCATCCAGAAGAGGTGGCCTCTGTACATGAGCACCAAGAACACAATCCTCAAGGCTTACGACGGTCGCTTCAAAGACATCTTTGAGGAAATATTTGAAAAGTAAGACGAGCAGCTTTGATCACCTAACGTTGTTCTCTCTCAGCATATCCCTGTTGAGCTGTTTGTGGGTTGTTGTAGCAGAGAATAATAAAAAAAAAAAACATAAGCCAAGCATTGGTGATAGAAGGGCTTAATGACAAGACGAGACTTAACTGAAGTTGGACGTGTTTCCTATCGATGAGAAAGCGGAGGCCTACTGGAAACTTTTTCTAAGGAAGTTGCGTCTTTTAGGACTTAAACATGTTCTCATTCAGGCTGCAAAAGTAATACTGGAAAATATTTTTTTTAAAGCTTTCAACTTTAGAAAGGTCAGATTTAAGACTGAAAACTGCAGATTCTACAGGAGGGAGTCCTGCTAAAATGTTTGAGTCGCTTTTAGGCACACAGGACAGTAATACCTCTGACCCTGGTATATGAATAAAACTGATCTGATATCGGACTCAATATCCTGATCTTTGCATCTCTTAACTATCTTTTATTTATTTATTTTTTCAAACCTCATCTCTCTCTAGGACATATAAGCCCGAGTTTGACAAGTTGAAGATCTGGTATGAGCACCGACTTATTGATGACATGGTGGCCCAAGTTCTGAAATCTAGCGGAGGATTTGTTTGGGCCTGCAAAAATTACGATGGAGATGTGCAGTCGGACATTCTGGCTCAGGGTCGGTGTGCTGAAACGGGAAAACGAAGCAACGCAGCTCTGAATGTCTCCAAAAGATTACCTTGTTTGTTTTAAATGATCCGTCTGTGATCCAAACAGGCTTTGGATCCCTGGGTCTCATGACGTCGGTACTGGTGTGTCCGGATGGCAGGACTATTGAAGCCGAAGCTGCTCATGGTACCGTCACCAGGCACTACAGAGAACACCAAATAGTAAGGCTTTTTAATGTGGTGGAGAGAAAAATATATAGCTTTTTTTTTGTTGTTTTAAAATCAGATATTTGGAATAAGCCTTGAATAAAAGCAGAAAATTTATAGTTTGAATCTGTTCTAGCAAAATATCATTAGCCAGAGCCGAAGCAGACAAGGTGGGCTACTATCCTGGTTCAGTTACATTAGTGCTGTCTGCAGGAATGGACCAGAATTCAAGCAAACTGATGAATAGCTGGAAGGAAACCCAGAATAATTAATGCAAAATACACATTTAAATATCACCAAAATCTGAGGAAACATATGTAAATTTGTGCATTTAAAGAAATTTGAATCATTGATGATTATTCTGACATTTGATGTTACACAGAAAACTTGATTTACGCCCAGTTCAGAGTTTGTAAACATCTGGTATCCTTTGCTAAGGTTTTCCTTTCTAACATGGATTTAAGGTGTGTGTTTATTTGTAGGGCAAACCAACCAGCACCAATCCCATAGCTAGTATCTTTGCCTGGACCAGAGGGCTGGAACACAGAGGAAAACTGGATGGAAATACAGATTTAATAAAGTAAGCCATTTCTCTGATGCATATTTTTATATAACTGTAGACTTTAATTTTTTACAAACTGGTTCTTTGCTTTACAGGTTCTGTCAGACATTAGAAAAAGTGTGCGTGGAAACGGTGGAGAGCGGGCTGATGACCAAAGACCTGGCAGGCTGCATCCACGGCTTGTCTAAGTGAGTTTGAATTATTTCCTTTCAAGTACCTATTAGTTAGCTTAAGAAACAAAAACAAATGATTTCCTTCATTGTTATCACTGTCTTTGTTTTTTCTTGTATAGGGTTAAACTGAATCAACATTATGTCAACACGACTGACTTCCTGGATGCCATTAGGAACAATTTGGACAAAGCTCTTGGAAAATAGACTCCATCATATTTACAAGAATTAAAAACATTTTTACTTTAGTACTGAATGAATCTTTGTATATGGATGGATTGTGAATATTTGATAAAGAAGCGATTGTGCCTTTATTTGCCCATGTTCTTTCAGTTTTAAATGTTTGCATAAAGCCGATGAGGCTACAGTACAAATTAAGTTCAATCGAACTTATCAGCACTTTTGTCAGTTTAAGTTTACCTTGCTTTATAGCAAGAGAATCCTTTTGGATATATTCGAACTATGTTGGCAGTAAATCAAAATCAAGTATTGTTCTCTTTTTCTGTTATTCGATGTAATGGAAAGCAAAAATCATGACATGTTATTGTGGCAGCTGGTGAAACTGACACAGGCAAAAAGTGGCCATTTTGTCCACTGTCCTCAAAGAAACTAGATAAATGGTTAAGTGTAAGTAAAAAAAATAAATAAAAAATAATTCATCTAGGTGACTGCTGCTCTAATTGGTTGTCTTCAGTGGTCCAAGGAGGGAACAGTGCTTTGCATGATCCAACAGATGAGGTATCAGACCTCTGACAGCTAAAGAACATCAGCTGGTTCTGAGAAAATTTTGCTAGAATTGAACAGGCTTCAGTTTGTAGTGTCCTGGCTTTAATGCCACGGATAAGTCGAACTAAATGCCGTCCTCTCCTAAAATCAGCAACAGCAGGTATTTGAGAGCTTGCCCACCAGAAGAAGGGTGGGCTGTTCTGATCATTGTATATTTGTCGTGCAGAAGTCTGGCCTGTTTGAGTCTGTTCAACTTGTACCAAAGCATTACTACAGATTGTACAATTACTACCATTCACACATTTAGTCCTCTAGCTCTGAAAGGGAATAATGGTCCTAATGGGCTTCCATAGCGGTCTGAGATACTGACTTAAGCCGTGCATGCACTACGATATTTTTTTTTTGGGGGGGGGGATTCTCCAGTCGTGCAAGAATATTTTTCAATCGGGCCGATTTTCAGCCTCATGTTGTGTCCTGCATTGTGCTGTATACAGGGGGTAACGAGGGGCTATCGGCCTCACGACCACCTTCCGATCAGGAATCATGAGGTCAGGAGAAAATCAGTTGGCCATCGTGAGATGTTCATGAACCAATCCTGAGGTTGAAGCAGAGCTACGAGCATGTACTACGCACGTGCAAACAAGGGAGTTCTTCATCCAGATTAACGAGTCCAATGGGTGGTTTTTAGAGGTGCAGTGTGAGCAGGTGGATCACCTCGGAGCGTCTTGTTGCACAGTGTGCTATGGCATAAAAATTTGCAAGCATTGACAGCAGTTGCTTATGGGCCCACAATCTCTGACATCCCCTACGCAATTGCCGACCAGGACATCTCTTTGCAGACGACATCAATAGAAGAGCAGACAGTGGTACTTTTAATTACTATGCTAATAAGTCTGTATAGTTCATTAGATGGTTGGTAAAAAAAATACACTCATGTTTTAAACTGCAATAAAGATGTTAAAAGAACGATGCATCTGAGTATTTTAATTTTTACACTATGACTTGGAATTATGGGTAATCCAGAGCCTATATTAAGTACAATGTGTTAGTGACGATGGATACCAAAAAGACGTACTTAAGCGGATTCCAGAAAAGAAAAAGGAAAGAAGAACTGCTGGAATAATAGAAAAAAAACTACCCAAAATAAACACGTTCTTTCAAAGAAGCAAAGAGGAAGAGTTGGACGTTTCTGCTACAGTGAGTAAAGATTGTGACCAGGAGTCACACGTGGTGCACTGTAGTCGACCAAAATCCCGGACAATTTTGAAATTCCCCCTGGACATATTTTAGGTATAAAAAGTAGGACATGTCTGAGAAAAAGAGGACATCTGGTCACCCTAGTTAAATCAGCTCAACTGAATGTAACTAGGCTTCGACTCACTCCCACTTATTTTAACCAAGTGAAGTACTGTATGGTTCTGGGCCATGTGTTTCCCCCCCTCCAGCTTTTATTTTCATTACCCTGTCACAAGTACTGAGCAACAGAATGAACTATCTTCATTTAACCCTTCCCCTTGGGAAGCAGTGAGCTGCCATCTTGTGGCACCCAGGGAGTAGTGGGGGGTTAAGGGTCTTGCTCAGAGAGCCAGAGTGGTAGTTGGGCTTGAACTCAAAACCTCAGGATTTTAAGCTCTATGCCCTAACCACTAGGCCACCACTCCAGTTTATGTCCCCATGCATGTGTGTTTGGGGCAAAGAATCATTTGCTTTACCAGGCTGCCATATTAAACAGGACATTTGACACATTGCAGGTACATTGTTTCACCAGCAGAGGGCAGTGTGACAAAGCTCAGACACCATAAATTCTCTACAAGCCCTCATGTATTTGATACATGGTGAAATTTCAGTTGCAGGTAAATACTAACAATCATAACACAAGTGGTCTGCTGCAGTTAATTACCTAAACTTATAAAAAGTTACCTGAAATAATGTTTATCTTGTTTATTAGACATGGTCTAATCCCAGCCTCTTTGACACTTTCAGACCGCCGCATGTGGAACCACCAACTATTTGTACCTCAGGTTCATTCTCTGTCACTTGGTTTGGAAGTTTATCCAAAAGTACAAAGCGACTGCTAACCAGGAGACCGGACCGGCCCCTTGTTTTAAATGAGTTGTCAGAAAACAAATCCAAATTGGCATTTAGATGACCTTCATTTGCTGTGTTATTTGCTCCTCCAAGAATCTCCCCCTAAGGATCCGGAGTCCATATCATCATTGACGGCCTATAAGATTCCTTTTTGAGACAAATAATGGAAACTTTTTCCTGAAAGGATGGTCCAATCTGATCCAGTGAGGTCCAGATCCAGTTTATCAGGGAGTTTAGGGTTTCACAGGGATTAAATGAAAAACCGTAAGGCTTATCATACAAAGACATCATTCAGGTTCTGAGAGGGATAAACATTCAATATTTCCCAGCATGGGATTGATATCTGAAGGATGTCAACAGTCTGGAGGGGTATGGAAACAACAATGCATTTTCAAGGTCTGGGTGAATATAAATAAATGATGGTTGTCCATCTTCTGGTATCAGAATGTTATATTTATTGTTTCCTTCTTATTTTTATCAAAGCAACACAGATCTATTGGCCATAGTTTAGGTTTGGCCATTAAATTACTCCGATATGTTATCTGAGGATCAACAACAGAAGGAAATCAGTGTCCAAGACTGCAAAAAAAAGAAAAAAAATGAGGGGTGGTAGATAGATCCATTACCACAAAAAGAGTTAAGATAACCAGCTCTCTGAGGTTCTTCTTCAATTTAAGTTCAGACTATTTCTACTCAATGTCCGTCTTTGAAGGGTGGACGCCAGTGTGGACGCCAGGCAAATGCCGAGGCAAATTCCACAGCAAGCCAAAGTACAGACAGAGGAAAATATCACCACACCAGTAGAAAAACTGATATTATTTGTAGCATATGTTATCAACTGCACTGACCAAGCCAAACACAAAACTGAGAAGATTAAAATAATAGTGAGAGGAGCTGAAAAGTTTTTGGGGTTTAAAGAGGGATCATGGGAGAACATAAACAAAAAGTTGGAGGTAGATGGGAGACCAGGACCATCAGGTGATATATGTTAATATTACAATGGAATGCAAGAAGTTTAATAGCTAACGGAAAAGGAACTTAAAGGTTATAGTGACAGTCTTGAAGAACAACCAGAAATCATTTGTGTATAAATGTAAATTTAAAATAATACATTTTTATAATCCATGTAAAACATTATCAATTGAAAAAATGGAAGAGTTAA